ACACTGGTGAAGATCATGGCATAAGATAAAGGTGCCAAGAACTGATGTGCTTTAAACCATTTCTTCAAACATACGGCCGTTTGTCAGTTAATACAAAATTTTCCTTGTGTAGCAGTGCTAGCATTAAAACCTAAGATACTACAGGAATAAATGCACCATTTTGGGGGTCAAATGCGACCGAGAGGTCTATTAGGTGTATTGTATTGTGTAGGGGCATTAAAAAAGAATCATTTCGCCCAACTTAGAAAAAAAAAACACCAGAACCTTTATTTCCACACTGCTTATCAAGCCCGGAAAAGTGGCGACGCATCGTCACTCCGCCATTTCGACAGCGAACGTAAATCCCTTCTATACGTCTCTATATATAGGGACACGAACGTAAGGTCACCCATCTTTGTAGAAACCTACACACGTTAAGACACGTTAACACCATGTAGAGGACAAGAATGAATTCCTATATAAGATGTACTTGTGTTTCTATTCTGGGAGTGGACGGCAACGGCTCCTAGTGATGAGGCACGTGAACGCTGAATACATTTTGTGGAGCTTTGGAGCCTGATTGGGCCTGGGTGTGAGTCACAAAGAGCGACGCCCCTTTCCCGGGGATTAAGTTCAAAAAGGATGGATAAATTTTATGCAGGAAATCCATTTTTTTTCTTTCTTGGTGTTGTTTCCGCTGCGAATGAGTCGTTTAGGAGGTCGAGTACCATTTCTCCATTTTATTTATAAATATAACAAATAAGTACTATAGTACAATATAAAATGTATACAGAATACAAATGCCAAATACTTGATAGACAAGAGCATCTCTATATTTGGCTCAAACTGACCATTTTTTTCCTATAATTTTTAGTAACATGAGAGATTTGATGCTTTCTAATTTTAGTACATTCCGGTGTCTCCTTTTTATCACAGTGTGAAAATAGACGCTCAGCCTCAGCTTTGGAGCAATTTGGAGCATGGAGACAATACCAAAGCCAAATACGAGAGATAGGACAGCGACGCAGTATGTGAGCCCTGACATTTGGCGGATAGTGTATTATCTGAACAATAGATGGCGCTGTGTGGAGTTTTGCGCCTCACATTTTCATTAAAGGTGTGATACGTGCTTTCCTATCTTTTATATATGACCTTAGAACGATACTTCCAACGCAAATGTGCCTAAAAACATTTTTTTATCACCAAAATATCTTCGATACTTCAAAGTTTTTGTTAAAATGTCTCAGCATTTCCATTTCCTCTGGAAAAGTGTGCCAAATGACATCCTGCCATAAGTCATCAACTTTTTTGCCATAGTTATCACTGATTTTGGGAACGATTTACAAATTCATTTAGTGATGTTACAATTCTTAGAATATTAGGGTCTAGGATGCAGATACGACGCACAATCCCAGAGTGTGTGATTGATGTTTTTTTTTTCTTTTTTTTACACGCTTCAAATAGGAAAAAAAATGATATTAAGGCTTGATGAAGAGATCCATCATTGCTACCCCAAAAAATAATGTTTAAAAGATGAAAGTTGGACCTTGTGAATTAATGCATATCTATTTCTAAAAGAATATTCATTATACAACCTGGACATAATAGTGCCAGTGCAATATAATAGAGTACCCTTAAACAAAGAGAATGTGGTGGGGATACACCAGAGAAAACTAGAAACATATATGGTAAACTATTACATTTTACATAGATTCGTCAATTCCTTAATATCTGGTGGAATATTACATATACATATATAAACCCGTATAAAAATAGCAAAAATAGAGTATCATCTTTCTGAGCAATTAAGTACTACTACATAATTAAAACTGAGGTATACATAATGTGCAACATGCTTCAAGACTAATTTAATGATACACAAAGGGTGGCTTCCAGACGAATTGGGTCACTACACATTCCGTACGCCCATTACATAATGTCTCTCCCTCTCCCTCCCTCCCTCCCAACCCCCCTCTTTCTTGTATTCAAACGGTCTTATGCTATGATAGTATAGTAGTGAAAGGAGTAGAAAAAGGGGGGAATGGGGTAGGATAGGTATTGATGAATAGAGGAAGGGTTAAGGACAAAGGGTGGTTAGATCAAATGAAGGATATTTATGCGTCTGAGGAAGGAGAACAAATTATCATTAGAGAAGGTTGGGGATTCTGCGAGGGTGCCAGGCCGGGTGGGGGGGGGGGGTAGAAGGGATATGTGAGGGAAAGTAGAGATTCGGGCTTCGTTAAAGCGTGGGCAGGATAGCAGGGTAAGAAAGAAGGATATTGCATGTAGGGCATAGAGGTAGGTTAGAGGGGTGTGACATGAGGTATGAGTGAGTGAGTCGGGTGTGACCAAGGAGAGATTGAAGGCTTTACAACTTGAAGTTTGATGGTGTTCAGACCTGACCAGAAAGATTGCCAACGGTTGTAGATGGAAGTTTCGAAGTGGGGTCAGTAGTCGATGACTGGGATGAATGAAAAGCGGGCAAGGCTGCAGCTCGTGACGTCATCTGCTTTTACACTGC